CCTAGGTGCCCGGCGAGGCGGGTCCGCGGCTCAAAGAGGGCAGGAACCCCACACCCACATCCTATTCGTAACACTTTTCGTGTCACGTCGTTGATGTGACGTATTGACAAGACCTGGCACTCGCCACCCATGGATGTTCTCTGAGAATAGCAGGCCGGGCTTGTGTCCTTAAGTTATGAAGAGAAAAGCTAGTTCCACAAACACCATTTGTCTATTAAACAAGTCCGAAAATCGGGATGAAGTTACAGCACAGTTGACGGGCCTTGCTCCAACGAGTTTGTTGATGCGCTGCCTGTCAGTGTTGAGCCCATGCGCTAACGTGTTACAAGCAGCAGCGGCCCTAATGTTGATGAACTTGGCAATTGTTAAAGTGCTGAAATTCATGCCCCATGCGCATCAATTGCATTAGGGGAAAACACGCCGATGCAGCGTTGATGCGCGAGACATGCAGAAAACATTAACAGGAAGCGCATGAACAAACTTGCTGTATCAAGGCCCATCAACCTCGCAACATTTGAAATGGTCACAGGTCCATACTCAAACCGCGCCAAATCGAAGAACAACTTTCTCTCTTATGGCAAAATGCCCAACACGCTGGCATCCAGAATTTATACACTCCAGCCTCAACTCATTTCACGAAGAACTTTTCAGGCTGTAGGAAGTCGGCGACCTCAGTGTGAGTGTGCTTCTCATTATAAATGAGAAACTTGTTTTTTCTCCACAAGTTTCATATTCTCGGTGTCACAATTACAAACACCCAACACGCTCCTTAGGGTTTTTTGTAACAGATTTGCTGCAAGAATTTTTTCGGTGATTGTTTGAAACACAAAGCATGTGTTTGTGTTTCTAAAAATCACCGAGAAAGTTCGTGAAGCAAATCTAGTATAAAACAATCGGGGAAAATCAATCATCAGCCTCAAACTGTCCGACCAGATGACAGACACCAGGTTTTTGTGAGTGTGCTGAGAACGCCATCAGATTTTGATGATGAGCTGATCCGACATTTCGTCATGTCAACCAGACTTCGAATCATTGTTCCGCCATTCAAGTGGAAGCACCATCAGACCTCAAGTTGGTCGTGCGTCCTTCCAAGGAAAATGTCGGCGCGGGGGAAAGGTAGATGAATAACACAGCTCACCGTGTGGCCTTGAAAATCGGCCTAAAATTCTGGACGTATTTTCAATTTTCTTCCTCGGTTCTTTCCCTCCTTCCTTCTCTCAATGTTACTTTCCGTTCTTCCTTCATATTTTCTGTAGCATGTAACTCCTCCAGTTATGCTACTTTGTCCTCTTCTCATAATGCATCATTAATACTTGACCGAGTCAACTCGGCGGCCAAGTACCAATAACCCGAACAGTGAGGCAATGCAATTTTAAATAAGTAGTTTAATGCTAATTGTTGAAATCAAAGAATCGCTTCGACGAGATGGCGAGTTAGGCGACAGTCTCCCACCATGCAACTCATTTAATTTCATTCTGCTGACGCTCTGCTACCACTTCACTGTACAGTGACCGGCAGGCTTGGGCTCACTTTCAGACGGATGGAGGGAACGAGCGGTGACGAACGAAATCCGTCTGAGATCAAATCAACACAGTACTGTACGCAGTACTCAACCCACTACAACATTTCACGGCGAAACAGGACACGGCGTTGTACCAAGCAAGGCACCAACGGGGGCATCAACAGGGGCGCGCTCCGGTGTGCCACACGCAGATTCAGTCACGCCCCCCTCCCCGATGTATAACAGAGCATAACACTCATTTGCTTTTGACAGGGGTGCCTATTGTATGGCATGTTTTCTTCGATCTGTTACAAATCTTACCCCCCTGATCCCGCCCTGACTTCTTGCCGCCCCTTCTTGTCGTACTCCCGCCCCACGGCGACAGTCCACGCGTCCCCACCGGTCGCTCAGTCCCCCCAAGCCCCAAAGAAGGCCCGTCCAAAAAAAGGGCACACCCAAAAAAAGCCCTCACCAAATGTACCGCCGTTCTTTGCAGCCCGCCTGTCCCTTCCGCCAACAGACCACTCCCACCCCTCCAGTTACCGCGCCAGGACTCGGCCGACTCCCCCCCCCCAAGCACCGCCCCGCCACCCTCCCACACCACCCCCCGCCGATCAGTCGCCGCATCCCCGTACCACAAATTGCCGGCCGTCACGATGGGCATCCTGCGAGGCCTGCTGCAATCGGCGGGGGGGCAAGGCGAGGGGGTCGTGGACATGGTGACCGTGCACCGCAACGAGGAGGGGCGCCAGGGGCAGCTGTCCACGGACCTGGACATCCTGTGGCTGCTGTTCGGGGCGTACTTGGTGTTCTTCATGCAGGTATGTGTGTGTTTCTGTGTGAGTGGGGTGGGGTTTGGGAGGGGTTTGGGGTGCGGTGGGGTGGGTGGGGGGGCTGCCGTACTGATTGGGAGAGGGGCCATCGGCTTTTTTGCGGTGGCGCGTGGAATCCAGGGTGGGGAAATGGGTTGTCCTGGGGGGGCATATCGGCGGGGTGGCGGGTTTTGGCATTGCACGGGGCTGGGCCGAAGTTGCACCGCGCGATTGGGCTTCGTGGGGGGGTGCCTCGGGGAGAGGGGGAGCGTGTGCCGGTGTTTTTGTGCGTGTGGTTTGATCGGCTCGGCTGTGAGGGGGGCTGAACTGGCGCGGGCATCTGTTCTTGCGGCAGTGCGGCTTCGCCCTGCTGGAGGCGGGCAGTGTGAGGGCCAAGAACACGAAGAACATCCTGCTGAAGGTGCGCCGAAGGGAGTGAGGCGGTGGCGGGGGGCTGGGAGAGTTGGCGCCGGGGAGGCTCGTGCGCGCCACGGGCCGCTCGCGAGACGCTTCGGAGAGCTTTTGGCCGGCCGGGCGGCGATCGCCGCGGATGTTCCGCCGCTCGGTGCCGCTGGGCCGGTCACTGGGCCACGGGGCGCTGGATTTGATGGCCTTTGCCCGGAGGCGGCTTATGTGGGCCGTTTGCAGGGTTTTCCTTTGTGCGTGTTTGTGTCGTGGGATGGCGCCATCAGGCGTCGATCCGGCCAGCGGGGTGAGTTCGGCGGATTCATCGGAGCTAATTTGTTTTCTTTGCGGGACGGCAGAATGTGCTGGACACCTCACTGGGCTCCCTGGTGTGGTGGGCGTGGGGATTCCCGTTCGCCTACGGCGAGAATGGCGACCACCCCAACGAGTTCATTGGAGGCACGGTGAGTGATCGGCTCCCCTCCGCAGAATCTGTCGCCGTCCGTCGTCGTTTCCGAGGGATGGGTAGCCGGAGGGGGATCTGGACGTGCCGTAGGGCGTGTCGGCGCGCGGCCAGGTGCGCAATGTGGCTCGGGTCCTGGGCGGGTGGGGTTCGGCGTTGCGGTCGCTGTTGGGTGGGCGGTGGCGGCCAATCAGCGGGCGTGGATGCGGGGACGGTTGATGGCGAGCGGTCGTTTCGCTGAGGCCAGGGTGGCGTAAAGAGCACCGGGTGCGGCCTCATTTAGGTTGCGTGTGACGGGGAAATCAGTCAGCCCATCAGTCATTGTTTCGGTGCGACTGGGGGGAAGGAGGCCGCCACCAGCCAAGGAATCGCCCCCTAAAGAAACCCGCAACGAAGCGCCACAAAGCGCCAGAGAAGGTGAAGGGGGATCTCCGCTCGGGCTTCTTTCGGTCCACTTTCTGGACTGGGAGCACGGCAATAGCCGCGCGCCTGCACTTTCTTGCCCTGCTGGGTTCCTGCCCCTGTTGGCAAACGTTGGTGAAGGCGTCTCACAGGGCACGTCCGTCGCTTGCGGTTTTCCTCCAGCGTGTTTGGAGTAGCTCAGCAGAGGAAACGCTGTAAATCAACCGACAGAAGCCAGTGCGCCGGCAGGCTGCTTGCAAGGACGCCACAAAAATCGCCGACCGTTTCTGCTGTCGGGATCTTGGGAAAACAGCGGTACAAGATTTGGCGTTATTACCTCATCTCGCTTTTACGCTTTGTGCTTAGCATTTTATGCTTTGTACTTTATAGGTCTACCGAACCAGAGTTTAGGGCTATTTTGTATTTTGCACTGTAATTCTTTCATGCAATGGTAGTTCTTTGCACCCATTTCGCCCAAAAGCGGGGCCCTTTTCTTGCCCCTCGAATCGCCTTAGATGCCTCACTGCTCTGCTTTTATTCTTTGTTTTCTGGGTACCTTGAGGTCCGCCTGGAGTGACGTCACATTTGCCTCTTTTTCGCAATCAGAACTTTCAGCAGGACCACGATCTGACCTGCAGCCCTGTTTGTTTCCGCCTGCAGAATTTGTTCATGTCAAACAGTAACGACGTTTCACCCAGGGACGACGAGGTGGGCTTCAACAACGCCAACAGATATTTTGCTTTTTGGCTGTTCACTTGGGCCTTCGCAACGACGGCCACCACCATCGTGTCAGGAGCAGTGGCGGAACGCTGCCAATTTCGGGCTTATGTAATCTACACCATCGTGCTGACCGGGTTCGTGTACCCCATCGTCGTGCACTGGGCGTGGTCCACTGAGGGCTGGCTCTCCCCCTTCAGGTGAGCATCTGATAAAGCACACAGAGGTATAAACAGACAAGAACTATGCTCACAAATGGGTAAATGTACAGCACATTACTGCAGTGCTATGGGCCACCACAGCTGAACAATGCAAGTGCAGTTCACTGTGTTTGCCTTGTTTACTGTGTGTATTGGAGTAGTTACAAGCTGTACATTTGAGTATTGAAAGGCCTCATGCACAATGGTGCTATTTCATGGGATTGACAGAATAAAACCGGACACATCGTTTTCATTGCTAGCCATGTGGGCTTCTGGAATCCTGAGTGGTGTTGTTCTGAGAACCCAGCAAGCTTGGTTCTCAGAAAGGAACGCCAGGTTGCATGTCGAATTGAACCATTGTTGAGCCATCTCAGACTGTCAAAGGGCAGGCAGTAGAAACACGCAGATGGCCAAATGGGGTGAAAAGTGCAGCCCTTCTGACACACCACTGCTGTCTGTACTTGTTTGCACTTGTTCTGTCTATGATATTGAATTGTGTTTATGAGCTCAAGTGCAGCCGCTGTGCCAATAGATGAGATGTGGGTCTTGTGCCAACTTACAAAGAAATGTAATGCGACACAGAGCCGAATATGCTAACTGGGTGGTAATGAATGCACAGTGTGAGAGAAGAAAAACTCTGATGGCGCCATGGCATGTCAGAAATCATAGCAAATGATGGTGTTTATTCCAGTAATCGAATCGAGAGTGCTGATGACCAGATGCAACAGATGCTTGACACATAGCCATGTGATACCATTGCCCTGCCAACACTTGTCCAAGATGTGCACAAAACAGGAATTCCATGCCTCGTGGGGGGCCAGTCTTTGCATCTGAAACCAAAGGGAGAATTCAGAAAACAATGTGCATTGCAGCAGTGTGGACAGCACAGCACACTGGCTGAGGCTCTAACTCTGCCGTGTGCAGATCATCAAACAGCAGCAGTTCCTCTACTGGTTGGCAGGAACCTCACAAAGCTTGGAAAACGAAAAGTGACCACTGCACTGTGAGAGCATGTAATGTGCACAAGAATGGATGTATGGTGTGGAATAGAAATGAGCTTCCTCCTAACCTGCAGGGTGAATGGCGATGGTGAAAAGGACATCGTTTTCAGTGACACTGTGGGCCTCATCGACTTTGCTGGCAGCGGCGTGGTCCACATGACAGGTGGTGCCGCTGCCCTTATGGCGGCCACAGTCCTTGGTGCCAGATATGGGCGCTTCAGTGCTGAGGGCAAGCCCATCGGCCTGCCTGGCCAGTCCGTGGCCCTGGCCACTCTGGGTGTCTTCATCCTGTGGTTTGGGTGGTATGGATTTAATCCAGTGTCCACAGCAGCGTTTTATGAGAGCATGTACGTGGCGTCAAAGTGTGCCGTGACAACCACGCTGGCGGCCTCCGCCGGCTGTAGCACTGTGCTGACGATCCACATCTTGATGAATGGGACTCCTGATGTGCTGCCAGCACTCAATGGTGAGAAGGAGCCATGCGCCTGGGAGATTCGTTATTGCAGAGGATGATGCCCTCTGCAATGGCATTCCATGCTGAGGGAAATTGTTTGCAAGGCCTGTTTCCATGCCGAGCTGGAGGGCTTCTTGTTGCAGACAGGGAGCCAGGCTGTGCAGTGGGCACCAGTCCTGAGCAGGAACGTTTGCCACACTCCTGCCCATGCCGCGGATGGTGGTGTGGAAGTCCAGCACATTTTTGACATTCATTTTAGTGCATGTTTTAAGATTTGACACCACTTCCCACGCACAGTGAAGACGATTGCATTGACTGTTGAAGGTATGGATTTGCTGGTGGCCAGTGTTGTTGGCCACTACGGGCAATTGTGCACCATCGTTGACAGATGCCAGCCAGCATCCACCACCATCGACAGGTTGGCTGTTTATGGATGTGGGCTGTGGTAGATTGCTGCTTCACTGTTCTTGGGCCTGTTTAATCCTCCTCACAGCTTGTAATGCATGGGCATCTGGGAGCCAACACTCTCATGATGCTGTTCTTTCCATGCTTCAATTTTAGTCTTCCTTTTGGGCCAGTAGCCGAATCTCTGAAGTAACTGTTCTGTATTGGTAGGGGTCATCTTTCAGTGGTGATTCGATTAGCACACAGTGCAGAGTTGCTTTTTATCTCACAAATGGTTTGTTCAGCAGTCTGCAAGTTCCTTCCCTTACCAGCAGAAGATGCTGCACGTTGATGCAGCCTGTCATGAATACACAACCCAGGATCAGTACTTTGGAAGCACAATTTCAAGATTTGAAATGAGTCAGATTAACAGTGCAACAATCTGCCATTTTTGCCTATTGATGTGCAGAAGTACATGGTTTGAATGCTGTGCTGCTGTGTCATTATCTCCAGGCATCTTGGCTGGACTCGTGTCCATAACTGCAGGTTGCTCTGTTGTGGAGCCATATGGTGCTGTACTCATTGGCATGATCGGGGGAGCCGTCTACAAGGCCGCCTCTGCCGCCCTGCTGAGACTGCGTATCGATGACCCATTGGATGCTGGGCCAGTGCATTTCTTTGGCGGGGTGTGGGGAGTGCTGTCGGTGGGCTTCTTTGCCACGCCTGCCAATCTGCGCAATGCTTATGGAGGTGCGCTGTTGTTGTTATTATTGCATATTTGTGTATTTGTCTGTTTCCTGGCCAAACCTGCTGTGTTTGCCCTTGTTGCTATTGAATGCCAGTGACATTGAGCTCATCATCATCAAAATCCATGGATGGCATTGTCACAGAATGACAAAACACAGCCCGTGCACCTGGTAGGCGATGAGGTGAAATTGCGCTGCAGCACTGAGAAAGTGCCTTGCTGCCTGTGCATGTTAAGATGTACTCTGAACATTCAGCAAGATGCATTCTTTTTGAAGCACCCCATCCTAGCAAGAATCCATTGGGCCCCTCCTGCCTTTGAAGTACTGAGGGAGCCACTGACAGCAAGAGTGAAAATCTTTCCAGGAACAGACACCAAAGCAGCAGACATGCACTCCAGGGGTGTTGCCTTACAGTAACAAGCTCATGACTTGCGTATACATCAGTAACGGTTGCTTTGGTGGGCTGGGGCTCAGAAGTAGCGATGAAGCTCACAATGAAGTGCAATACTGCACAAAAATGTGCAATTATGTGGAGCAACGTTCAACAAAGCATGTTGCTTACTCGATTGACAGATCAATCGATTCTGAGATTTGATTTTCTGATTGACTGAACGCTGACTGACCCCTTGCCACTGACCCACTGCCTGTGCCCCTCCAGTCGATGTGCCCATGAGCGAAGACTCCGCTGGTTTGTTCTATGGTGGCAACGGCAAGCAGCTGGGCGTGCAGATCCTGGCTGTGGTGGCCATCGCCGCGTGGTCCTGCAGCATAAGCCTCATGATGTTCCTGGTGCTCAAACACTACGGCGTCCTGCGCGTGCCTCAGGACGAAGAGATCACGGGCCTGGACGTCTCACAGCATTCGGGTGGACCACGGTTCCAAGTTAATGATCAAGGTGCGTTCCTTGACGAGTTTGGCTCTTGATCACGTGGGCACTGGTGCCAAGGGACAAATTTGGCCATTGTTCCCCAACCCTTTTGTGCACAGATGAGAAAAACGCTCCTGGCTGTACGTATTTTTTTGAGATCTGCTATGGTTTGCCAGTTGTTCAGTCGTGCTGTCGCTCTGGTATTGGCATTGACAAAGCAGCCCTGGTACCCAGCGCCGATGGGCGCCATTGTCCGCTTCTGGATTGTCACCAAGCATTGGAAACTATGTCACATGCGACCAAGCATTGTCACCAATACAAACGTTGTGAGCTCCAACGACTCTGGTGTGGCACATTTCGCTTGCAGCGGTGGTCGTCGCTCCACATGCACCTGTCATCTTGGCTTGCCCCACAACTGTCATGGCCCACAGGGTGCAGGACGCGCTTTTCTTTTCAATCCTGAACATGGTGCAACACCCTTCTTTCCCTGCATTCCAGTATGGGGCGATGTCTTATTTAGGAAGGCCCAGTTCTGTCTCCTTCTGCCAGTTCTGCCTAGCGCAGGCAAGGGTGGCCACGGAAGTCAACTCCACCGTCTATCTTCGAGTGGCCAACATCTTTGTCTGACCCTTTATCTTTTATTTTTGTCTTCATATTTGTTATTTCTTTTTCTGACCCTTTGCCTTTGGCTGCCATCAGATGGGGTGAAGATGGTGCTGGGGAGGCGCAGCTTGACAGGGACCCACGTTTCGTCGCCTCTCTCGCCGTCGTGAGGCGCCCAGCCACACCTGGCGACAGGTGTGCGTCACGAATGAACATGCAATTTAATGCGCATTTGAAGGGGTGGAAGTTTCGAGATTTTGTGATGTAAAGGAATTGAAATTGTAATTAAACGTGGATTGGAAGGAGTGTAGAGGTCAACTAGCGAGCGACTGTTTGCCGGGCTGACGTTGCGCCTCGGGGGGCCTGGGCATAGCACAGGTCGCTATTCCTGCAGTGCTGTTGGTGCTGGGACGGATGCCCTTCCATTTTCATTGCTCGCTGCGGGCATTCGATTCTTACATTTGACTCTGAACTTCTTGAATTTTGAGAGGCATGTCTCACTGTGTGTAAGTTGCAGTTGTTGTACATTTAGACTGTAAAGAATAGGATGAGAGAGCGGAGGGGAGAGCGCCGTGTCTGTGTGTTGCTGGGGAAAGAACACGTGCGTTCGTCAAACTACCATGGCGGATGAGCGATCACCCTTCGTTTAGGAATGTAGCGGAGCCGAAAGGTGAGAACAAACCCTTGTTGCTTCCATGAAGCTGCAACATGAAGTGGAACAGAAGAACACTGCAGTACTTATCGTGTGCCCATAACTCCCCAGTGACCATGAACTCGTGGGCACCCCGCAGTAGTTGGCATTGCAGAGCTCATCATCACCCGCATCCTATTACGCACTGCCACGCACACTCGAATCCCCACCGTGCACAAACTGGCCTCCGTATGGAGCCTGCAGAGGGAAGCGCCGGTCGCCAAGTAGAGCGGAGGCACAAACGCGCATCGACGGTGGGAGTTCTGGCTCTTTGATCTCCCAAGTTGTGTTCTCCCACATAACAAGACCATTGCACAAACTCAGTCCATCCTTGCCCGTCACCATAACATCTCAACTCGAGGCACCCACTATTTAAATGTCCCTCTCGCTTGGGCCTGGTTTCTCAATCTGGTTCCGCTCAAAACACCTTTTCAGGACAATAGTGCAAGCAAGTACTGTAAAGTACCGAATATCATATCACTTTTCCCAAAAACAGAGTTTCAAGCCCTTGTGTGTAAGCACCGGGAATCTCGGTAGGATGAGGTAGCGGGCGTAGCACTGCAGGGTTGCCTGTCCAAGGTCTCAACTGTATGGGGGCAGCTTCGGCACAGGAGCGAAGGGGGCTTGATGTGCGGCGCACAGAACAGGTTTCAAAACACAAGCGCTTCTATAGCTTTCGAAGTTAGGTGCCAGAGCCGTTGTGCATCATGGCTCCAGAACACCGCCAGGACTCCAAGCAGAACATGCACGTTTTTCTTTCGTTGCAAATTTGGAACCAAGTACTGTTTGCTTTCCACCGCCTGCACAACTTGAAGCTAGCCTTCAACACACCCGTCCCGGAACACCAACCCAACTCGTTTCCAACTCGCCAGACGTATTTTGAATCAAATTCAACACCAGACATTCTCGTGGTGAATTGTGCCCATTTGTCGCACCGCAAGGGTCCGCCTCGCTCAATCTCCCTCCCATCTCCCATCACACGACTGCACAATCTGTCTGCAGTCAACATTAAGAGTAGACGGTTCGCTTCTGCTTCGCAATCGGTGAGAATGCCCAAGGTACGCCGAATTAGGTTAACGCACCGGCGGCAGCCTCATGCATACTGTGGCTGGGGCTCGCGCCGTGGGAGGTTCGACGGTTACGTTGGTGCCCCCATGGCACCAAGAGGGCCTTTCGGAATTTCCATGGGTTGCATTTGTCTGAAAGACATCACAAACAAGCCCTTGTACTTGTTGCGCAATGACGGATGCAGACCTGCGATTTGTTGTTCAACGCCTCCACATTCACTCACCACCCATCTAAACATTGTCAAAAGCAGGGCAGCGAGACAGACCCAAGAAATGCCAACATATCAGAGAACATGGGAGAAAAATGAATAAAGCGAAGGGAACTTCCTTTACGTAATCTAAAGCCTTGCCTCAGTGGTCTGTTCTGCACTGGGAGTTTAGGGAAAACGATAGGCGATCAGTACCTCGACTTTCATAGCGGTAGAATGTTGTGCAGTGCATCCTACACAACATGTATCACTTTCTACGCCACAATATTGACGTATAGCCACATTTCTGTGTCATGGATGATGTGGAAATTCTGGACCGCGTTGTGGGGCGGTCCTGGCAAGGTGAGCCTGCTTAAAGTGGTTCCCTGAGCGGACCACCTGCCACTCCCTCTGTCTCTTTTGGAATTTGTTGTCGCCGAAACTCGGGAGAAGGGAATCCTAAGATCAGCTGCAGGGGCACAATCAAGGGCGACCATGGTTTCAGGCCTTCCTGGACTGGTGGTCGGCCAGGTAGGCGCCCCATTTCCGCAACGGAGTTTGGAACAAGAATGGTGGCGGCGCGGGCACGGGGTGTGTTCTTCGAGGAGACGCGTTAGTGCAAACGCCACACTCTGTGCCCCTTCGGCGTTCATCCACTTGTTGAGAAGCACCCCCCCGCCGCCAGCACGGCGCGCGGATTGCGGCCTCCTGCTCGGCGGCTCAAAAATTCAGTGGCTAGAAGATAAGGCCGCCCGCATGCATGCACAATGCCTGAGCTGGCCAACAATCGCAGGCGAGCATATTCGCAGAATCGCTCGAGCATGAGTGACGCCAAGTCACGGCTCCCCGAAAATTTCACAAACACAGCACACCTTGTACCGCGACAGTACACCTCGCACCACTGTTGTACCGCCCGTGCTGCCCGCCGCGGACGCACCCCCCCGACCGGCTGTTGAGAGGAGAGAATCGGGCGCCTTTTTGGCGCCGAGGCCCATCGTTCCCACAAATCTCATCCAACAGCGCCCCCCCCCGCCAGCGCCCAGAACGGGCCACGGCCCTCGACGCCCGTGACAAATCGCATTGCATAAACGCTGACGTGCTGGGCTGACTCCTCCATCCGTCCACGGTTGAACTCGCTTGGGTCAGCGACTCGATCACCCCGGGCGACAAGGCTCGCGCCGCACCGCCGCAGAGCCGCCACCCCCCCGCAACTCTCTTTGAGCGGCTTTCTCGGTGGGCACCCGCGGTCAACGCTCAGCTGTCCACGGCATCGGATCAAAAACCCACAAACCAAAGAAGCAAGAGGCCGTTGAGGAAGCAAGCCGGGAGCGGAAGAGGATGGATGATTGGGAAGGCCAGCTTCGTCGCAGGGAAGATGAGGTGATGGCTGCTGAAAGAGCATCCGCAGAGCAGTTGGAAGCGGCGAGGGACGCTGGCGCTGGCGGACAAGAGCGCCCAAAATGCGACAAGTTGACGCGCACCTCGGCCCCACGGCCGCCAGCGCCGCAACTCTTGAACGCCATTTTTGCGGGCGGCACCCAAAGGTACACGCAGCGGTACGCGGCGCCAGATCAAAACCCACGAGCCAAAGGCAATCGCCACTTTTCGCGTCATGAACGCGAAAAAATGAAACTCCGCCGTGGCCGGAGCAACCGGTCGCAGGCGAAAGGATCCAGGACCGGGTGCGCCGAAGACAGAACTGGGCCACACTGCAGCCGCCGCAGGGTCATCTTCGGACACCGCGCTGCCGCGTGCAGGGCCGCGTAGCGTCGGCACGGTCGCCCGTCCACCCCGCTGCGGCCAAATCACAAAGCGCCGCCGGGCGCACGGCCAGGCCAAGAACGCGACGGCATGCCCGCGCCAATCCCTCTCGTGGTTCAAGGGACGCCCGCAACGAGGCTCCGGCGCCGGGGAGTGAGACGCCGGCGCTCGGGCCGCGCCACCAAGGCCCGCGCCCTCACTCCACCACAGCACGGGCCCCCCATGACCGGCCCGCCAACCCGTCAAAAGCACAAGCCGCCAATGACACCGCCGACAGCGCCGGTGAAGTGCTGATGGGTGTACAGGCCGCCACACCTGCTAACGTGATGAAAAGTCGCGCTAGTAAGCGCGACCCTCCCCGCCGGCCCACTGGGGCCGAAAATCGCCCCCCCCGGTGCAGTCTATCGTAAGCAGCCCCTCGCGGGGGTGATGGACCCTTGGCGCCCGCCCCCCCCCACACGTCCAATTGTTCAGGGCGCTGCGCGGCAGCTGTTGCGCTCCGGCCGACGAGGTCCCTGCCCGAGGGTGGGGTTGCCCATGCCCTGCACCGGGCGGGCTTGCTTGGGCGGCAGCTAGCTACCAGGTTGGCCGAAATGGGCGCGCCAACGGCGCCTCAGGGCACGCCAATGTCACCTCAGGGCGCGCCGGACTACCCCTACAGCGACATCACGTTCAGAGGGATGCCGGAGAAGCGGGCGAGCGTGGGGGGGCAGGAGGGCGTGCCGCTGGCCACGCCCGTGGCGTTCGGCAGTGTGGGCGGGATGGAGAGCGGGGATGCCCTGTGCCGGGCGGGCCATACGTCCACGGTCGTCGGGACGAGCCTGTTCATCATGTTCGGATTCCGGAAGCCGCAGGATGGGAAGGAGAAGAAGTGAGCGACGCGAGGCGCGCGGGGCGGGGAGGATCTTGTGGGAGGGCATTCAATCGCGCTTTGCGCGCCGATGTGGCTTGGAACATGGCCGGGATCTCGAAATCTCGAGTGGCCAGGGGTTGGGGGACCCAGGAATCTGGGATGGAGGGCAAGGTGGTGATTGTTGTGGAGGGGGAGGCTGGTGTTTGCGCGAAGGGGGACGCGAACGACCTGAGCCAATCGTGAGCGACACATTGCCCAGAGCGATCTGCGGATGGAGGGCCTCGGCGCACAGGTGTCCGTGCGCCCACAACCCTAGCGAATCGTCCCCACCACGGTGGCAGGCGCGCTCCCACGGTTTCCACCTCGGGGTGCCAGCCCGCCGTTTCGTTTGGCGCCCGGCGCGATGGCCGCCCGGGAGTCAGGAATCGCAGTCGAGCGTCGCTCCTGTACTGCGCCCATGACAACCGCGGCGGTGTGTCATTGATCGCCAACACGCGTGGACACGGTACCGCCCGCGCGACCTGTTGCTCTGCGCACCGGAGCTGTTGCGTTGTCCAGCGCGGCGCGAAGTGGCCGCCGGCTTTTGCAAAGGGATGGCGGAGGCTCTCACGATGAAGAGAGTGGGGAATGAATCGTCGCTGAGTGCCAGGCTGGCGCCCGAGCAGGTTTCCGGCCCCCGTTGGGCGCCAACGGCCCTCCGGGCGCGGCGGGGAGATCGGGCGCGGAGGCGGGGGGCGGGAACAGCTGCTGCGCTTCGCGCGAACTTGACCAGCCGACCTGCACGGATGGACGAACGCTCGAACGAGCGAGAGACATGTAGGCTGCGCGCGTGCTGGTCGTCGCTTGCTAGCCGCAAGGCGCATGGGCGCCGCCCCCTCTCGTGAAGGCGCAAGCAACCCGATCAGTCTGGCGGCCATGTCGCTCAGCTATCCGTGGTGCTTTCTGCGCCCAAGTTTGCGATTGAGAGTGCTCCTGGAGCGCTTGTTTGGGAGCGGATTTTCGAGCGCGTGGTGGGGTTTGCGTGATCCAAATCCCCACCAGCACGTCGAGCATGGAGTGGGTGGCCGACGGCCTGGGCGCAGCCGCCATTTACGCAGTTTCAGTTTGCTTAGCCTCGGGAAGGTGTGTTACAAGTCTTTCATTCGATCAAATGGCGGGAGCCACAGAACAGAAGGAAGTTATCGATTGGGGCGAGCATCACCAGTTGTACTACCGTGTTTGCACAAGAGAATCTGCCCATAACAATGTACTTTTGACCACCTCCGATGTGGTCAAAAATTCGGATAGATAGGATAGCCCGTTGTACAGCAGGAAAATGCCCTTTCGGCACACATGCTTGAGCCCTCTTTCCGAGTTGCTTTGCACAAGTATGAGTTGACCAGTCTTTTTCTCAACATCCAGTCCGAAGTGTCAGTTGCAGTCTCAAGGAACATTTTGACCGCAGCAGAGGTCCGTGTGCTTCATATGGTCCACCAACATGCCTGTTGGTGCTGGACATATTCGAATGCATGCAAAGCAAAAGCATTCTCATGGCAGAGCCAGAATTGCTACAATGTGCCAATGAGAAAATCCATGTGTTGCACGTTTTAGAAAAGGCCCGGCGCCTTGGAAAGCGATGACAGACGAAGCAACACCCCGCCATTGCTTGGTGCCAAGATTACAGTTCCACACACCACCCACCTCCATACAAGCGATAGCAATTTGCCTTGCAGCTTGTAGTGAGCAGAGGAATCTTCCAGAAGATGGCTTGTCAAGTGGTTGTTAAGACTTCCATCCAAATTGGAGACACACAGACACTCCAGTGAAATGTGTTTCGCATACTTCTATGTGGCCATTTTTGAATCCTTCTGTTTGATGCATAATGAAGTCGACGATGCGATGCACGACTTGGCTTGATTTTGTGCCATGCACAGCTTAGAAATATAGAATCGGTTTGGTTATGTTTGGCGTCACAATTTTGTATGTGCGTTGTGCATGGCATGGAAACGGTATTTTTGATTTATTTTCAATCAATGTTCCGATACATAGTCAAATTTCTGTACTGTGCTGCCTCCACTCACACACAGTTGTTGATTGGGCAGGTACCTCAGCGATGTCCTTCGGTTCACCCCTGAAAACAACAGCTGGATGAAGGTTGGGGAGCTGGGCGCTGGACGAGGGCACCACACAGCCACGTTGGTGGGCAGCAGGATTTGGGTCATTGGCGGCCAGGACACAAAGTACATATTTGACGGTGTGCTGTGTTTCGATGTGGAGACCCTGCGTTGGGTGAACCCGGAGACAGAGAGGAATGGTGGCTTTCTCATCAGGTGGCCCCGCACCAGGTGAGCAGATGGCAGAAATAGATGTGTTATGGAAAACAATGGAATAAAATTGTAAATTCAACTAATCGCACATCATAAGCAGACAAGGGAGGCGATAATGTACTGAGAACGGATTCATTGCATGTGTCACGGCAGCTGCAGAAGACAAGGTGCTGTCTTTCCTTTTTTTGTGCCAGATTATTGCATCACATTGTTTGTAGTTTAGAATCGAGCTGTTTTTGTGACAGTGGCCATAAACCTGAATCACAATATGCCCCGGCACACACACAAACACCCCTTAAGAAAGTGTGATGTTTTCAATGCAAAAATTGACGTTCTTTGTTTTGGAAAATTGTATCACATTTGTTTGCATGCCAACTTCACAGCTATATGTTGATGCAATATTTTAGAACAGAAGAACGGATGGCTTCCTGTTGTGAATATTGTTGCAAACTGGCATCGTGAATAATGAATGGCGAGCCACACCATGCAGAAATGCATGAGGCTGTTGTGTGTGTGGCAAATTACCACAGGGATGGCCACTCACTGGCGAGGCGCACGTGCCACACTGCCACTCTGCACCCCCACAACCCCAAGGCCATCATCGTGGCTGGCGGAATAAGCCTGATCGAGGCTGGTACCTTTGCTTACCGCAGTGATGTGTTCATGCTGGACACCATTACGTGAGTGCTGGGTGATACAAGTTGTGCTTTGATTGTGTTTGAGTCTCTGTGGTGGGGTATGGGTACGGGAAAATGTCTTCAAAGACGGACAGCGTGTTGGTGAACAGTGCATGGCATCGTCAAATGGTGAAAGAGCTGTGATATGTTTGTTCTGACTGCTAGACTCAAGGCTCTGATGCAATTGACAACTGCTCTGCTGCTGCTTGTGCTGCTCCATGTACTTGTAATAATGCAAGTTCTGGGGCTAGATGTCCCTGAACAACATATTGTCCAGCTTGCTGCATGGCCTGCCAACATTAGCACAGGTTTATTGGATTTGGGGTTATGACAAAGAACAGCAAATGTGCATGCATCACCTCCGATGGAAGTTGTCTTGCCTGCTTGACAGGGGCCAAGTCCAGCTCCTTGCCAGGCTCGATGCTGGGCTGGCTTTTCACAGTGCAGTCACCTTCAGGTCCAGGTGAGAGGAATGCACTAGAATAAGCAGTTTGCTGGCAAGGTGTTTTGATGTAACACTTAGGTTGCGGCCTCCATCCACAATAGTACTGCCTTACCCTTCAATCCCGCCAGACAGCACCACACCAACACCTGTCTCAGTGTTGTTGTTGCTTCCTGTCAATTGTTGTACTTGCATTGTTCTGCTATCTAGGAGTGGGTGTTTGATTCAGTTTAATTCCTGTAGGTACAAGTTCGCTAGTTCTTGCTGGTATGTTCCATTGTGTTCCAAATTGTGCATCATGTATGAGACCCTAGGTCAGGAGGTGAGAGAGAGTGGCCCAGTTGCATGTGCATTGTTTCTCTTGGTGTCGTCTGACGATTATGGTCCAAGGAATAATTGTCAATATGCCTTCCTGATACATTAATGCCTGCCTTATATTGACCATGAAAGCACAAGGTGCGCAGCTCAACGGCAGAAGCTCGACTCGCCCCTGTGTTTGTATCTTGCCTAAGCCTGCCAACTCCTGTCCCTTGGTCCCTCCTCCTGTCTCCAATCAACCTGTTATTTTGCTCTGAATATAATGGTTACTGAGTTGGGAACAGATGAACAAAACATTCCCTTCAAGAACTGTGTACGGCCTTGTGCCCATCTCTGCCTGTTTGGTACAGGGGCTGTACATTGTAAGATGCATCGCCTCGAATGCACTGTGCAAATGGCCAGATGCACTGGCTCTGAAACAGTAGACCTCCTGTAATGTTGACTGAAGCCCTGCTGTTATTGTGTCCAGTGTTCTCCTTGTTGCAGGAGACCGCGGTGGGAAGAACAATAAGAACGGACAAGTGTTGGAGATGATCACACCCATTGGCAGCCAGTGGCGGGCATCAAACCCCGTTCTGCTTTCCGGGCACGACATGTTGAAGTTGTCCAGCCAGGCAGTAGCTGAATACAAGGGCATGCTCTTCTGCCTTGGTGAGTGCGGGATGTGCTGCAGCCAGGCTTGCATTTGCACTGATGGGTTTATGGCTTTTTCAACTTCTTTGGGTGTCAAGGCTTGTTTGGGGAAGATAGCACACAACGATTGTCAATGAAAAAAGAGTGGAAATTAGCTTGCACTATTGTGTTTGCCCATGGTAGACCAGATGGTGCCTGGTCGATTGTTATGGATGCAGACCACCTTCTCTGTTCTCAGCTCATCGTTGCTGTTTCTTGTTAAGTTTTGTGTTAACTTTTTGGTATTTTTTTGTGGCAAATGCGCATTATGTATCGCGTATTCATCAGATGTCTCAACGTTTGCTCTTGTTTCCGGGGGCACAGATGATTGCGATCCAGTATATCATCACGGCACTCTCTTTGGCTCAAAGGTGTAGCAGGGAATCATCATCTTCTGGGGAAACAAGGTCACAAATGCTTTCAACACATTCAATTCAGAGCTTGTGTGGATTGCCAAGCAAATTTGCTTGCGTCTGCATTTGTGCCTGAAAGAATCTGTGCTGTGATGTACAGGGGGGTTGAGGGGAAGGAAACAGCGCACGAACGATTTGTTGTGCCTCAGGATTTCCCCTGGAGGCGGTTGGGAATGCTTGAAGGTTGCAGATGTCTTCGATGACCGCATGGAAGGTACTTCAGGCCAGAAAATGCAACACTGCACATTCTATGCCTTCCAGTGTTCTCTGCCTGGAATTCTTGACACTTGGCTCAGCCTTTAACTACCGTTGCAGGAACGGAATTATGAGGACTGAACACTCCTCGAGTGTTTTTGTCCTCTGTTGTTGTGTCTCAAATTCCTACAGTGCATACTGGTGTCCAGTTGTCAGGAATGCCTTGTTGGAAGAGGTGTGAGGCTGTGCCACTTTGCCATCCTTGAGTAATTTTGTAGAGCAATGCAATTTCTTGGACGTGATCCCATTGCAAATGTCAATCCTTTGATCTTGAGGCTGGGCATTACTGCACCCATTACAGATCAGAAGTAATAGGGGGCAATCTACTGCACAACAGCATGGGACATTTGTCAGCATAGCAGTGCTCACAAGAGCCCACGCTTTTGTGTCAGCTGCGCCAAACAGTCGAAGCAGATTCTGCCTGTGTGTTCAGAGATTACTGGCCAGTACTGAGCGACAAGGAAGCTATTTGGCGCTTAGCTCACATTCAGTGAGAACAACGTTCTAATTCAAGGTGTCATATGCACATGCCATCACCAGAATTGCATTCAAGGGGCTCGCTTTGCCAACAACTAACAAGGTTTTTGGAGAGTATCTCTGCTACAGTGTCTGGGTGGCTGCTCATGTCTTGATAGTCCTCGCAATTTGCTCTGCATTCTGGAAGCTTCGTGGATCGTTGCCTGTCAGTAGACATTCAATGGATGTTCCTGCCATTTCATAGGCAGCAGGTTGCAAGAGCTTTGTTTATTTGATTTTTTGACAAATACAGTCATTGGAATTGCCACTTCACAAGACTGCTTGCTTGCCACAGGACGTGCTGCCCACACTGTGTCTGTCATCAACAGCACCATGTACATCTTTGGCGGCTGCACGGGATCCCGCCTGTACTCTGGCAGGATGTGGACCCTGGACCTTGCTGCCGTGGTGCGGCAGATCAACTTGACACCTTTCGAGAGCGACTTCGATTTCATGCCCTCCAGCTCCCAGCCCAATTTGCAGGCACAGTCCATGAATCTATACTCTTCTGCACCAGCGGAATGGCGGGTCGAGAGCAGGGAGGTGAGGAGTGGGGAGGTGAGGGGGGGTACCGCGCCAAAGATGACTGTGGGCCAATACGAGGACACAACCCACAAGAAGAGGAGGACGACCATCGGGGCAAAACGGGCTGCATCACCTGAGGTGTGGTTTGCATGTTTGAGACTGGAAAACTTGCCATACACTTAAGTATCAGCTCCTCTGCGTGTGCGTGTAAAGGTATGTTGAGATTCCCAAGATGCTAGACGACGCAAGGAGCACCCTTATCCTGGCAAGAATGAGCTGTGCCATTGTTCTGCTTTGCAGGTTATAGGGGCACATGTTTCAAGAATGATCTCGAAAGCCATAAGCATGCATGAAACCACAAACATATACTTTGGGGCCGCCCTCGCTGTCTCATTCAAATCGTAGCAGAATATGAACGTCTCAAGTAGCACATTGTTCAGCAATTTGAAACATCACTGTTTGTTCACCACAAGAACATTTCAACGCAGAAAATAGCATGTCATCCATGCCCTTGAGCTACAGCATTTTTGCGTATGTGTGTGTGTGTGTGTGTGCGACTCTCTGTGTATTGTTGTTCATGCCAGCAAACCAATAATTGAATGTTTGTCACCGGCAAATGCAAACGCCATCATTGGTCTGTATTGTTGGCGCCATCACAGGGCCACTCCTGAATTCACTTTGTGCGTATGTGTGTGTGTGTGCCACTGCAGGTTCCTAGGACAGTGCCCCGTGCAGCCTTTGTGCGATCGGTTTCTGACGTGGGCTTTTTACATGGTGGACCCAACCTGCAAGCAACAAGCATGCAGAGCACAAAGAGTGTAATGGTGGACGCAGTGACGGGTGACCTCCCCTGGCCTGCGGAGCAATCAGTGGAGCTTTTTGACGGTGACACTGTGGGAATCCCTCTGGACCAAGCCGCCACAAGGTCCATCCATCTACAATCAACGGACAAGGTGAGGGGGACTGAGTGGATGTCAATGATAGTAGGGAAAGGGAGAGCTGCAACAGCATGTTGCCAATGGTGTTGTTGTGCTTTGCCAGTGCAGCTCAACTGTGGCAACCGGTTCTGTGCGCATGCTTGAAGGACTGAAGGGCGAACTGCCATATCTCAATATATGACGGTGCTCCTGCACTTGCATTCCCCAACTCATGCTTTTGCATTACCAAGGACAGCACACATACACCTCACCTTTTTTGTGCGGTTGCCCGCATTGGTTGCTCCTCTGAAAAATATAACAAAATATGGCAATGAACCTGCTGCGCAATGCTGCGAGTGCTTGGGTGTGTGTTCCATCATGTGCAGGCCACATCGCTGTGAGCCTTTGTCACAGGTTTATATGTCTGGTGTACTTTGCTGTTTATTCCATAGCCCCTTTTCTAAATTCCAAATATTATAACTGTTTCTTTGCGAATGTCAACTGTCGCTATTTGTTTCTGCAACATTGCATTGTTATTAAGGTAATGCTGGGCAATTGGCACCACTGCATTTGCACACAATGAAGATTAGGTAGCACAGGGTGAGGACACAGAAGGATGCTGCAATATTAAAGCACCGCAATGATTTGATGAACAAACATAATGGCATGCTGTGAAATCCACCTGCACGGAGGTGCCTGATGAAATGTGTCCTCAATTTGGCAGAACCTCAGGGGGGCTTCTGTGGATAAGGAACACACGGTGCCGGGGGTCAGCGAAGGCGGGTTCATCAGCGAGCAGCATGCAGAGGCCAGCGAAAAGCTGCAAAGACAACTGGAGGCGCTCAGGGAAGCGGAAAGGGTTCAACAGGTGTGTTGTGACAGCAACACGTTCATGGCGATGGCACAACTATTGTCTTTAGGCAGACTGGATGTGTGCACTCTTTCTGCCACCTTTGCCTGTGATCTGCACATGGGCTGTGCCTATGGTATGCAGAAATACCGCCTTTGTACATATCAGGTGATGTGGGGGCAACATGGGTGCATTTTCCTTCACAGATAGCAGTAGAGTGGCGGACACTCGCTTATTTCAGTGTGCAATTTTCTTTGCCTTGGGAGGAATAGCAAATATCTCAAAAGCGATGCTGGCCAGCACTGCTGAATATTCTGTCCACAGGGTTTCCGACTCGTGACTGCAAGTGCATGCTGTGATGCAGCAGTACAGATCTTGCGCATGCTTGCTTTTCTGTACCCACACCTTCTGTAAACTATGTGTGCCTGCACATGGCCTGCAGCAATGCCAAGGGTGATATGCTTTGGACTGCCAGCACATGCTGGAGGCCAGGACTCTCCCACATGAATGTGGATGGCACACTTCATATGTCTTGCACTTGTTCCACATGGCTGCACAAGGGCCACATCTGTTCATTTAAGATGGAACAGCACCTGAACTCGAATGTGGGACAGCGTTGTGGCAAAAAGAGCCCTATACGCTTCAAGTGGTGGACACTGCCAAAAAGACCATATCCCAGGTTGTGGACACAGGTGCTCCACAGGCAGTGGAGAGTTGGCAGCATGTGACCAAAACACTGGTGCCTCTTCAGTGTGGTTCTTGTATTTTGTGGTGACAAACAACAGCTAAGCCATGCTCTTCAACACACCTAGATGCTCTCCAGATGTGCCTGATGAACAGTGTCTCTATTTCAGCAGAGTCTTGAGAGGCTTTCCCTTGAGAAGGAACACCTGGGGACGAAGCTTGAGAGGCTTTCCCTTGAGAAGGAGAGTCTAGGGACGAAGCTCAACAGTGCCGAGCTTGCCAGTAACGAGCGGGCAAAGGAGATTGAAAGGCTGAAGGAAGAGCTGGAGTCGCTGAAGGCAGAAAACAAGGCGCATGTGGTACGCTTTGTGGCGAACGCCTTTGGCACTGGTGATGCAGGCGTTGCCTTGATGGCTTTTCCAGCATTGATTACCCATGGTCCTATCTTACACGTGAACACGATGTGACCAATACCAGCTGTTTTTAAGGTGGACCTTTCCACCCCAGACGCCACCACTAAAACTGCGCCAGCAGCACAGCATTGTAGTTCAGGTCGTTCCAATAGGCACTGCTGCGCGTGTTCATCTGCATGTTATTCAATACCAGTGGCTTACTGGAGGTCTAGACAATTCCAAAATAAGACATCAAGTCGTAGATTCTTGGCAGCATAGTGGGTTGGGAGGCAAGTCAAATGCGTCCTTTGTCAAGTGTTGCAACGCATTGTTTGGAGGCCGGGCCATCTTGACGTTTCCCTTCTATGCTTATGTGTCCACCACTAGCTTGTCCCCAGAGATGGTCACATCCGGTTGTGTGATATCCACTTGTCATATTGCCACCATGTTTCTGCTGTGCGTTGCATGCCATTCCTGCTGCCATCATGGTGTCTTTATCTGACATATCGAATAAACGAATGCATTCATGACAGAAAAGAAAACAGCTTCGTGCAGGTTCACTTCCTCCTGGAGTGTTGCCACAACTAGGCAAGGTAGCAGTGCAACATGTTCAAATGTTCAAGTCAGCAAGTATGGAAAGGGTCCGCTTGGAAGTTTAGTCCAGAGGGGCCCAATGCATGATATGCTTTCCCTCGTTGCTGAAAGAAAACATTCGACACTGTCCCCACAGGAGGCCATCGAAGAGCACAAGGTGACGATCGAGGACCAGGCAAACCGCATTGAGGCACTGGTAGCTAGGCAGGACGACAAGGAAGAGGGGATGAATGAGTTGCGAGCAACCTCGTCCTCCACTATCCGAGAGCTGCAGCAGAGGATCGCTGACCTTGAGGAAGAGATCGTGGAGACGCAAGAGAATGCGAAGCGCACAATACGGGACTACGAGACTGCCTCCGCCGAGATAATTGAGGATTTAGAGTCCCAATTGGGGCAGAAAGAGATCAAGGTCGCACAGCAGCAGACCAAAATGCAGCAGCTGGGGACGCAGGCGACTGAGCTTCGGACTCAGATGGCCCACAAGGAAACGACCATCGCGAAGCACGAGGGCACGATCGCAGAGCTGGGTGGGAAGTTGGCCCAGGCAGAGGCCAAGGTTGCAGAGCTGGAGGGCACTGTCAAGCGACAAGAGGCGGAGGTCGCACAGTTTCAGGAGGAGAAGGCCAAGTGGAAGGAGGAACGTGAGTTGCAGAAATGCGAGTTGTTATGTGTAGCGTGGTGCACGGAATAATTGCTGATTTGTACCACTGTCACACTCATATGTAGGGATCCACCCATGTTCAAGCAGCCATGCAAGAATTGTTGGCATATGTTGGCAGAAGATCATCAAGGCAGACACAGTGAGAATGTGGCCGGGGCACAGCATTTGCGCCCTCTTTCTCGTCCAAGGCCGAATACCGAATGCGAAGTTTTACTCCATCTCAAAAATGCTTGCAACTGAACATTGTTAAGAAATGTTGTACCCTCCTTGCACATTTGTGCACATGGCCCTAACTTATACCTATTTTGCACGCCACCAGTGGTCTTCTATTCTCAAGTATTTGACTAGATTGGCGACTGGACCCTATTGGCAGTTTGGTGCAATTACCCCAAGCACATGTGCTGTTTTGCTTGCGAGTTGTTTGTTCGCACTCACTTCCAGGCAGCCCTTAGTATCCTTTTGTCCATAACCAGCTGTGTAGCTCAGCCCTACAATGATTGCCTGGCTTGTCTTGGATCGGAATCGGTCGCAACCGTTGTTTGGGCCTGCAGCCCACACATTATACCTACTCTTGCACGCGTGCCTGTTGGCCACAAGATATGCATGCCTTTTGAGAGAATTGCTGTCTTGAACCAGGTTGCCTGGAGGCCCAGCACATCATAGCTTTGTTTCTCTGTTGTTGGCAGTTAAAAACTCTCAACACATCCACAACCAGGAGTCCTGTAAAATGATTCACTTTAAAAGGAAAGAGATCAGAAAAGATGGATAACTGATGGGAAGAGAGTAAATGAGACAGAGACATGGAAAAGAATAGTGTCACACTTTATGCAACCTCCTGAGCGAGAAGGGTGAGAGACTCTGTTCCATGCTAGGAAAGTTCACGGAAATGTATCTGTCGGGCACGGTGCAGAGTATTACTCCTAAATGGGCTGCCCATGTACACTGTGAGGCAAGAAAAGATAGAATTGGAAAGACGACTCTGCTGTGATGCAACCAAAACCTAAGAGTCGTGTCCTGGCAGCGACCCTCCAATGTGTGTGTGCGTGTGTGGACAGTGAGCGATAACCAAGCGCTTTCGGATAGATATGCAAACGAGAAGGAAAATTGGAGCCAGCAACTCAGGGATGCCAGGAACGAGCTGGACGCTGTCAAGCGTGAGCGAGGCGCCTGTGAGGAGCGGCTGGACGAGCTGAGGGAGAAGTATGAGAGCGCCGAGAAAGCCCACGCTGAGGCTGTGGAAGGTGAGTTGGGCTGCCAGAAATCCCAGTGCAGTTTTAGTTCTTGCCTTTGCTTCAGACCTGGGATCGAATGGCACAGCTCCAATGCCAGAGCACAGTCTCCAGTTTGCTGCTTGGCAGGCAATCAGTCCGCCTGTCTTAAGTGTTGTTGTTGTGGCTAGTGCACCTTGAGCCCCCATGCTAAACTACCTATGACAGGGTTTTCTGCAGGAGGCCAGAGGGAGTGATGCGCTCTCCTACTGGTTTAGTCGCTATTGCAATGCCACTGTCAGTGGTACTGTTGTCTGTGCTGTCCATGGCACTGCATGCATTGCTGATGCCTAGCGGACAGACGAAAGGGCATGGCAGGTATTGTGCTGAAGTGTCTTCTCGATTTTGAGTTGAATGGTGTACTGGACAATCGTCTGGACAGCATGTGGCGATGGGATGCTGATTTGGTGCACAACTATGAGCATATTCTTTTCACTATGGAATGCAGCGCCTGCTTCTGTGTTGATGTTGAGCCACATAAGCCCAAACATCCAGGGGTCCTTGAATATTGCCAGATGGACTTGTTGCACACATTGGGTGGCTGGACCTGGGTACTCATTTGTTGTGTTCCTTTTGATATGGAGATGTTGCTTGGAGATGTTGATTGCCCAGATATAAACCCACCGCATTTTTGCGGTTTCAGAGGCCTCATGCATTCAACAGTTGTTACAAGGTTGCACATTGCTACCAGATGGGGCCTTCATGTCTTTGTATCCTTTTGCACATTTCCAATGCAAAGCCCCCAACAACCCACCCAAACACAACCCCACACTAAGGCGCACCCCCACACTCACCACTGCTGTTGTGCAAAGGTGATCAGGAAGTTCTTTGCCCGCTCTCCTACAAGCGGTTGCGCCGACGGCAGAATAGCACCCCGCCCTGGTGCCAGCACGTCCGATACTGGCCCGTCGTTGACACGACATTCTGTTACGCAGATTTCGAGCACCTCTGCTGCGCGTTGAGGAACGACCTGAACGGTCAGCTGGCCAAGCAACAGGCCTCCTTGGAGCAGGACATCGCGGCCCTCAGGGACCAGCTGCAGAAGAAGGACATGGCGATCCAGCAGATGCGAGAAGACAGCGCCATCAAGAGCGCCGAGTTTGAGGACTTGCGCACATCGCTGAACGAGCAGATGAACGCCGAGCTGGCCAAAATCCGGGCCACCAAGGACGAGGACATAGTCGTGCTGAGGAAGAGCCTGGAGGAGAGGGAACGCGAGATGCAGAGTTTGCAGTCGGAGTGCGAGACCAAAGTCTCGGAGAAGTGTCTCGAGCTGGCTGAGCTGCAGAAGAAGGCGGCCCAGGAAAGGGAGGCGCTGCAGCAGGTGTGTGCATGTGGTGGAACCAAGTGAACACAAAGGGCTACCAGTCCCAAGGTCAACGATCCCAAGCAGTGCGCATGGAGGTTGGAAGGCACTCGTGGCTCGCCGAGTGCCGGATGCCCCCACGCTCACTGTTCTACAATTAGAACAAAGCTTTTCTTTATTCACGCGTTGCACATGCCCCCTGCCTCCGATGTTGGGCGTGGCGGATGCTGTTTATTTGGTTCACGTGCAGATATATTCACTTATTCATGCACGTGTATTGCATCTTCCTTGCTGTTGCCATATGGGTCCACAGTTGTCCCCGATCTGCCTGGTTCCCATCTGACAAGCCGTCAGCAATTGGCGTGACGACCTTGGGCCATGATTTGGTGCTTAAACTTGTGCTGGAGGGCGCCAGGTGCATGCACTGTTGCCAGCAACGGATTGACCGTTGTCTTGTCAGAGTTTGTCTATAGCTGGTTGACTGTTGCTTGGACTCATCGGCACAGGAGTGCCAGTCTGCCCAAGCCCGTGCGACTAGCGAGTGCGACGAGAGGGCTGCGGAGCGGGAGGCCACTGCTGCGCAAATTGCCAAGCTGCATGAGGCTATTAAAGAAAGGTGACCACACAGTCTTCTGAAATCATCATTGTAGAAGAGGAGTATGCTGCATGCTGGTAGTGCCGTAATTGACTTGCATTACATTTGTTACGCTTTGCACAGTGAAGTGGTCGCTTTCCTCGTTAGAAAGCGATTTCATTTTCCCTGAAGATTTCAACAGGCACGAGCAGACGCGCGAAATCGGCACGGAGCGCGAAATCCCAAGCGCCATCCAACGTGATGGAGCGCAGGAACTGGCGCACGGCACTTTGTGCCCTAGACCCCTTCCTGCTCGCCTTCCTATAACGGCGCTGGGCGCAGAACTCTGAAAGAGATCGGTGGCGTCTGCTGACCGACCCTGCCGCTGCCTTGTTGCAGGGACGCCCAGCTGCTGGAGCGAGAGCAGGAGCAGGTAGCGATGCTGGGCACGTTGGGACAGAGCATGGCCAACCAGCGCGCCCATGTGCGCAACCTGGCCAAGCAATACATGAGCGATCTTCTGGAGGCGGAGGGGAAGCACGCCCAGGAGATCGGTGGGCTCATCATGCGCATCAATAAGTGAGCGCCGCGTGGTGCTCCCCGGGACCTAGCAGGAGGGGGCTGTATCGGGGATTTTATCGCGACGGTAGGGTGTTTCATAGCGTTGTGGGTGCGCCCAAAGCCTCGGCCGAAATTTCTCCCTGGCCTGCGGCCTGCTGTGGACTTTGGGAAGCAGGGCTCCGGGGGTCGTCCGACAGGGTTTTTGTCTCTGGCCGAGGAGTCCGGTCACGCTCATGGCATGCGGGTTTGGCGCCATTTAGTTTCTGCAATTCATTTTCATTGAATGACCATTAAATCATTTGCACGGGGTCCGGCGGCCGAGGGCTTGTAATGAGCGTGGGTCCGTTGCGCCTCCCGGCTAGGCAATAAGCGAGATCGCTTATCGGTCGCTTCAGCGCCGTCCTCTGGACTCGGTTTGCGATGTGGAGGGTGGGAAACGACTTTTAGAAACAGGCGTCTCCTTTTTTACATTCCATGTTCGAGATCTGGCGGAATTTATGTGCTGGAGATTTGCTCGCTTCGAGCTTTGGGCGTGCGTTGTGCTCGCGGCGGCTTGCTGGTTGCTGGGCCTTGGGCTTGGGGTGCGGCTTTCAGGGGCGGCAGTGGCAAGGGAAGCTGCAAAGACACCCGTTGGAAACCGGGGAGAAAGTTCTGGGAAACTGAACTGATGTATTCATAGTGGGCGGAGAACCTGGAACGAAATGTGGCAGCCCAAGATAAGGTGGCGGTGGATGTACGTTATGGAGTTGTGTCACGAACTCCTGGGCCTGCGACCAATCCCTTGCAGAACTGACGTGTTGAAAAGCAGACGTGGTTGGGGGCCGAGGGAACGTGCACGACATGCTGAGGCGTGATTCTCCATGCAGGGTGGTGTTAAGCGACGGCCAAGTTGCGCTAGTTATGAGTGACGCGGCTTGCACTGGGCTGTAAAATGTATTGACTGTTGTGGGGGGGGCGAATCCCATGGGGCTCCGCTCGCCTTGATGCACCGTCAGGCGTTGCGGATGCTCGTCTGCGGGGGCATCGCGTATCCCGTCGGCGGGACGGCCTGCAAGCCGAGTGACACCACGGGATTGTGTAGCTTCAACCCTCATGGGCCTCACAATCCGTTTCTGATTGGTTGGCCTCGCACTGCGAGGCTCGCAGCCGCACGGCACTGACGGGCTAACTTCTGTCCACACTGTTTGTTCGCGAATGTTCTGTCCATCTCAGCCCTGAACTCGCCTTGCCTGTCAAATCCACCTTCGGAACCCTGTTCGACACCAACAGCCACATACAGCCCCATTTCAGATTCCACACACCAACAGCGTATTGGCCATTGTTCGGATCGCTTGCTCGCGAGGCGCACAGAGACTGCCGCGCATTGCAAAGGCTTTGCGGGCGCCACCGTTGTGAATCGTTGCCGCCATGAGCAGCATTCCTTTGCTGTCTGTGGAGCACAGGGCTCAGGCCGGGTCCCAACATCCTTGGTTGGGGACGTGCCCAACATCGTGGATCGTGCGGGGATGAATTGCATAGCAATGTGCAGAAGCGCGGGGTGAGCGCCACTCGCGAGAGGGCAGTCCGCGAAACAGATGCGTACAAACCGTACTCGAGAGATGTTACAACCAATGATGAAATGCCAAAAACGGAATGCAGCAATTCCCGACGCCACCAGCGCATCACTCTCAAAACCCACTTGGCATGCCCAGTTGCGCTCGGCGACTTGTACATTATCTTCACAGCTTTGGAAAGAGTCCAGAGACACGAAACGTTGCTCGGCACTTGGACGCCCAAGCGAGGCAAGCACGCAACCCTCTGATGAAACAATCAGGGTGCATTCCGCACCCAGTCGCATTCATTGCAAAACAAAACCAGTGTGCGCTCCAACCAGCCGCCCTCCGTGCATACACAGCCATGCATTCCCATTCAACCTAGCAAAGGGCAGACATCCAACAGCCGCTTCCACAACTTTCAGAAGACCCCAATCGTCTCCTACAGAAGTACTGCAGATACTCACAACCTGGTTCCTATGTGCTGCATGTCAATGCCAGGCCTTGGCTAGTCGATTCCTCGCAGGCAACGCCCACACTCGCTTGCCAGCCCCGTCTGAAATTCGACTGGTGGCCTGCCAACAAGTGCTTTGTCCATTTAAACGAGCAGAAGTCAACTTGGTGTTGCATGAGAAAAGGAGGATGGCCTCGACGCCCAATTTGCTTGATAGCCAAAGGATGGCAACAAGCATCTCCGATTGCCGTCCAGAAAACTCGCCAATCGTCCAAATAACCAATCCATCGAGAAGCGCGAACAGCTTTCTCACAATGCGCCACTAATGTGGCACACATAAATTCTCTAGCACATTATTCATGGTGGCAGGCCCCGCATCCGGGCGGGATCAGGTCGGTCCATCGTTTGCTCAATCCATCATTCCCTTGGTCCCCGTTGGATCCCTTGGTACCTCAGTCACTGGTCCGCCACCAGGCCCCTTCCCTGTCCCCCGGCTTCCCGGGCTCAGCTCCATTGGACGCCTTGGGAGTGGCGACAAACTTCCCAGCCAGGTTTCCCCACCAGGAAGCTTCCCCCTCCCCCAGCTGCCCGGGTCCGGCTCCGTTGGACGCCTTGGGAGTGGCTCCAAACTTCTCGATCAGGATCTCCCTCAGCTTTGGCAGAAGGTACTCCTCCTGAGCAGGGATGCCCGCCTCGAATTCCTGAGCCAGCTCCGCGCCTTCGCCAATCTTGCCACCCAGGAAGATCTTCACGCCCTCCACCGCCTTCCCATCCAGCTTGGCGGGAGCCCCCATGAGGCCGATATCGGCGACCTTGCCATCGCAAAGCACGTAAGATTTCATGAAATTTAGAGTTGGTAAAGAGCTACACTTCTATTGGTGCCAATAATGTGCCTTGTGTTTGTTGTTGGCTGCATGCGTATGGGCTGGCGTCCTTCTTGCCGTTTCCTTCTTGCATACAAGGGAACTAGTGATGTCTGCCTCACAGAGTCATTTGGTTGCGTTTTGTAACGATAGCTGCCTGCTCCTGTGCCTTGAGAAGGAGGCAAATGGCAAGAAAGATGCAGCCAGTGCCCTGCTATAACTGCCTTAGTCGAATATTGCTATGGCTGAACCTGAAGCACTGCCCCTGACCTGTTGGGGGACTTTGGATTTAAACCGCATTGTGATGAGGAAGTTGCCAGCTCTAAGGCCAAAGCCAAGTTGGAGAAGACGATGAAAGTACCATTATTCAGTGCGTTCACGAAGTGATCTACTGGCCAGGAAGACTGAAAAGCATGGCAAAATATATTCAGCAGCACAGGTTGTCAAGACTTCTGCACGGTTAAAAGGAACTTCTTCAAATTATCAAGCAATTCAAGAGGAATGCATATCCCCATCTGCAGGAGCAGTCCTTAGCTTGTGAGATGATGCAAGCAAAGGGCACACAAAAGCGCAAACCCCTGCAAAGCAGACTGCCTAATTGTTCTTGTCCAGGGGATGATGCCAACGGAAGGCCTTTGTGATGCACTTTTGCCAAAGTATTCTTGAATTGAGACAAACCCTGGTGCAGTTCGTTTGGACAACACTGGCCCCAATTTGAGGATATGATTTGCGAGGCAGGCGACACACTTGGAGATCTAGCAGCACAGGATGTGCACACAACTTCCCCCAGTGTTAGAAGTAGCCTAACTGATGATATCACACCTGTGCCTGCCCACATGAGTTGGGGCAGCCTGTCCAGTGTATCCGAACCGTCTTTGGGATGTCCAGCTCCGCCTCCAGGGCCTCCACCAGCCGCATGGCCCTGTTCTTGGTCTCTATCAAAGCCAAGCCGCAGAATTGCGAGCCTGTACAGGAGACCAGCCCGCGTTCAAGCAACCCTGCAAATGGCACAGAACATATGTCTTTAACATCAGGGGAAGATTGCTGTTCGCCTGTTAAACAGGTAGGCACACTGCTGCAACCAATGCCGCATATACTGGCATACGTAGGGACATGTAGGCACAGTTGGAAGTGTGTACATACGAAGGGCACCCTGGTTGTGTTGGAGAGTGCGAAGGAGTTATGCATATTGGCAACCGTGCGTCTGGGTGGCAGTGGCCGTTGTGTACACGTTGGGATCATCTGGAAATTTTGCAACGACTTCTTGGGCCACCAGTCGCACATCTGGGGAGCATATGCACCGTTGAGAGATAGGTGATGGGGAGAATACAGTACCCCCTTTTGTCTCCTGGCTGAAATCCCTGCCTTTGCAGCAGTCCGTAGTTTAGGCTGCAGAGCGCAGAGAGCACCAAAACGACAACAACTGGATTCCCACACGGCGCATCGCCACAGCACAACCAAACACATTTCGCCGCCCCAAGAATCGTCAATCGCAGATGCCCTCGCTTTGGATTCCCAAAGCTCATCGTTACTTGACTGGTCCATAGATTTGGTCAACTATTTCAATTCATCAGTGCAACTTGCTCACCAGCTTATGTCATTCGCTTCATGTATTATCTAGTTACTTATTGTTGTTTATTTATCACTAATACATAACCACGATTCATCATCAAATTGCTACCAATTCAGATCCGAAGTGACTGCAGGCCCACCTGCGTCCGGCCTGTACCGCTGCAGCAGCGGCTCCGCCAGCAAGCCCTCCACGTTCCCCTCGGGCACATTCACGAAGATGACGTTCTCCTCGCACGTCAGCCGCACCGTCCCGTCGCCCCACCGCTCCGCCACGTCCGCCATCTCGAAGAAGTCCGCCGTGGGGATCCGCCCCGCCGGCACGCAGGCGCCCACGAAGCACAGGCCCGCCTGCTTCTGGGGGTGTACGCCGATCAAATCGCGGCGCTCCCAGCGCTCGGCGTGGCTCACGGGCACTGATCGGGCCAGCTGGACGCCGCCCATATATTCGCCGACCAGGTCGCGGAATTTCTCTATGCCGAGGGCCTCCACCATCCAGATGAGGCGGGTCTTCTGGCGGTTGGCGCGCTCGCCGTGGTCCCTACGGCGCGGCGGCGGTCAGGTTGGGCGGATTGGGGTGTGCCGATGTGTGACAGTGTGTGACGATGTGTGACGATGTTTGTGCAAAATGTGACGGAGGGGGTGGGACGCGCGGCTCCACGAGAACGCGCCATGATCATAGGCGAATGGAAAAAATGGGCAAGAGTGTTGGAAAACTTGTGTGCCCCGTTGTTTTCATGTTGGAAGTTCTTGTTACATTGGTCAAAAGTGGAAGGCAGAGACATCGCAACAGAAAGACTGTGGTAGGCACAATCCATGGATAGAGTTTGTTCATTTCATTTCAGCCTCAAAGCCCCCCAAAACGCATATGTACAGAACCGAATTGAAATGCAGTATGTAGTATGCTGTAAGGGATCTTAGCTGATATTGATAAGCTTCAACGGACATGGGCACTAGTTAGCGCTGCCCCTGCTCCCTGCGGCAGATACCAAAACAGTTGCCCAATTGTCTGGAGTCCGTTGACGCGAAAAGGAACATTGCTTCCGGACAATTCTTTTTGATACAATCGAAAAATTTACAGTATATTAACGAATGTAAAGAAAGCAATGTTGTCATATACATTATCAGTACCGACAAGCAGCGCGGCTGGTGGCACCAGCCTGGAACAGCACTTCGGAACGCAATGATAATTCAAGCGAGCGAGTGCTGGCCCCGTTCTTTCGCAACGAAAAGCCGTTCCTCAAATGTCAACGGCAGCAGAGTTTCCTCGTTCGCCAGTGCTTTACCGCAGCCACCGGAAAGCTTTACCAGCGCCCCACTCTTACCAGTGCTGTGTGCGCCCCTACCCAAGAAGAGCGAACCGAAACCACTGAAAACTGCTGGGCTCAGTTGACAAGGTTAGGGGAGCGTCTCATGGGGGTGATTGGCATCGCAGGTATTGGGGTACTACTAGTTTAACAGGGCATTAGCATTAGGGGAGTGTGTTCCCACCACCGCCCCCGGCCGCACCTGAACACCTTCAACACGGCCTCGCAGAAGGGCGTGACCTGCTCCCGCGTGACCGAGGTGTCGATGGGGAACGACACGGCGTTGCGCTTGACCGAGAAGTACCCCCCGATCACCACGTTGTACACCACCTCCCCGCTGCCCGGCTCCACCACCGCCTCCAGGCCCACGTCGTTGATGTGCGTGTGCGGGAAGTCGTCCCGCGTGCTGCTCACGCAGATGTTGAGCTTCCGCGGCAGGTTGACGAGCTCCGGGTTGCCCTTACCCCCGTTGACGATCATGTCCTGGATCTCCTGGCAGATCGGCCGCGTGTCCACGAGCTCGTGGGGGTCCAGGCCAGCGATTGGATTGCCCGTGATGTTGCGCACGTTGTCCATGCCGGTCTGGTAGGACGTGAGGCCGATGGCCTGCACCGCGTCGATGGCCCTGTCCGCCTCTGCCATTGTGATGCCCCGCAGCTGGATGTTGGCGCGCGTGGTGATGTCGCCGCAGCCGTCGGCGCCGTAGGGGAGGACGACCTCTCCCAGGCCGCGCAGCTGGGCGGAGGTGAGCTCACCATTGGGTACCTGGAGAAAGGAAACGGTGAGATGCGCTGTTCGAATGTTCTGCCCCCAAAATGGGCCATGTTTTGCCTTTCCTTTGAGGATTCTTGGGCGAAACACGGTGTTGGGCGCTCGCCGCTGGCCCGGGGAACCGTCTGGAGCGTATTTTTTGAACGTTCTGGCTCGGGAGAGGTGATTGTCTGGTATGGAATCGGTCAGACGCGTCTTTCGAATGTTTTGGTTTAGAACAGGGGGGGGGGGGTGGGGGGTCCTTAGCCCCTTAAGGACGCCTGGGTGAGGAACGCCGCTGGGTACCTGGCGCCGGCGCGGCGGAACGGTCGGGCGCGGTGTTCGATTGTTCCGGCTCGAGAGGAGGCATTGGCCTCCCTGGCGCACTCAACGATCCCGCTGGAAGCTAAAACAGGACAAGAAACGCAAACGGCCTGGCCGCCTGCCTTCCCTGCCTTCGCGCAGAACTTCCGTGAAGGACCCAACGTCCCACGGCGACCAAACAGCACGCGGTCACGTCGGGCAGACGATGGCGGTGCGTCAACGCTACCCACACAGCCCGATTGTGTGCCCCGCCCCGCGCAGACAAACCACACCCATTCCCACTCCTCCGCGCCCATATTGCGACGCAGCATCCTCAGAGTCCGGCGCCCACACGAAGCGCAGCGGTGCCCAAGAAACATCCCAAGAACTCGCCCCGCCATACAAGCAAACGCTCCTTGCAGCATCCCCGGGTTTGAGTCTCGCAAACACCTGCCAAGCACGGGACCCCCTTTGTGTGACCCGTATCCCTTTCCCTTTGCAGCAAAATCCCACCCACCTTGAGGCGCATCATGAATGTCCCCGGGTGCCGCTTCCTCCTGTGGAACAGCCCCGCCCACTTCATCCGTATGTCGATGTCGTCCAGTTCCAGGTCCTCCCATTTCGTCTCGCCCCTCCGTATCAGCTCCGCCAGCTCCGGGATCTCCGTCCACATCCTCGACCCGCACTTCGCCACCTTAACCTTCTCGAACTTGTTCGCATTCTTTGCCAGGGCGCGATCCCTGGCCGCCTGCGGCAGGTGCCTCAGCCCGCTGGTCTCCAAGTCAACCTCGGAGGGGCTCTCAACGGCGGCCTGGCACGCCAATCGCCGACCCATCCCCAGTCGCGGCGGCCTAATGGGCTGCGCCTTGATTCCCACAGATCCTGGCGCCATTTTGGCCATCCTAAGCTTACGGGTGAGATCGCCGATCGGCGATTGTAGCGGGGCGGGGCAGCGACGAGGCGGTGGGGGGGGCGCGGGGGGGGCTGCGCTGCTGGTTTGTGGGCGTGGGCGGGGAGGGGGCTAAACCCCTTGTTTGCCGGGCCGGAGGGGCCACACGGGGCGCTGGCCCGTTGGCTGTTGGGGCCAGTGGCTTGAAGCGTGGGGCGGGCGGGCTGGGTCAGAGGGCAGCGTGCACACGTGGACCCGTTCGCCCACGTGATTGGCGGCGCGGCGGGCCTTGTAGCCCCACCGACGAGTGCGACATCTTGACGGGAACGTCCGTACTTTCCGGTGGTGCCGATACCGGCAGGTGGCACGCAGACGAGACGGAGACGGAAACCCTGCACATACATACCCTCAACCCTGAAAGCCGTAGAAATGACATTAACTATCTTGTTAATAGATTTCCACCCAGGACGACGTTGGGTGGGTTGCGCCGAGTTTCGAATCAGGCGCAATCGTATTCAAACGGGTTTCTGGCCCTTCCTAGTACCTTGGGTCAGTCAAAGTACGGAGTGTCCAAGGGTCCGCCCGTTTTGGCGGCTTGGACTTGGCGGGCTTTGGCGGGGCTGAGCGGGGGCGGCTATTTAGGCTCTCCCCTTGGTCCCCCTCCTATCTTGTTTCGCTTCGCGCCACTTGTTGGCACAACCCGAAGGCACCGAGTGCCTTGCCCTCCCCGGCCGTCTTGGCCGAGTTCTTTCTATGAACCGGACACCTGCGGAGCAGTGGCTTCAAGACCAAGCCGTCCAGTTCAACGACGGTCCGCCTACGGCTTCTCTCGACACCGTCTGGCTACCGGACCCCCGTCTCCTTCCGCGGTCAGTCACCAACCCGGTGGTCCGACCTCCGGGGGTCCGTTTTCAGTGGTTGCGGCGTGGTTCGGCCGCGGCTGAGACCAGCTTCATTTTCGAAGGTACAGGCCCATTAAGCGTGGCTCTTCGACCTCACGGCCGCCTTGATCGATTTCGCGGCGCACCAGGAATTCCCGCCCCTCTTTCGGGACGCCCTCTTGCCGTACCTCCACGCCCAGGTGACGATTACGACAAGATTGCAAAGCCTAATCCGTCTCCAACAAGTGCACGGGGAGCACAAGGGGACGTCCCTCGACGGGTTGTGGCGCGCGCTCCAGACCAACGTTCGGCTGGGCGCCGTTCATCGCCGCTTCTGGGATCCTTTGATCGACGAGCCGCTGGAGCACATACGCAAGGAGGTCCTCAATCAGCAGTTGAAGTTGGCGACCAAGTCGGCTGCCGCCAAGAACCAGGCCAACCTCGATCGCGCCGCTCCGGCTCCCAATCCTGCGGGCGCGTCCACCTCCAACGCTCGCCACTTCAAGGGCAAGAGTTCCAAGCCGCAGGCGGGCCCCAACGCTCCGGCCCAGCCCCCCAAACCCGCCGCCTAGAGGACCCTCCGTACGCTCGTCTTCGGGGCCGTCTCTCCGGGTGGCGCCGCATCGGGGCGCCTTCGCGAGTCTTGCAATGGATCCACACCGGAGCCCCCCTTCAATGGGGCCCGATAGGCCCTCCGGCCCCCTTCGATCAGGGCGAATACCCCTTGACGACCCCGGAGGAATAGCGAGCATGGCGGGAACTGCGGGACGAGTACCTCGAGACGGGGGCGATCGTCCGGACCAACCCCTCTTCCGACGCCCGGATTTCGCGCGCTTTCTTGGTGGCCAAGCCGGCGGAGAATGGCAAGACCAAATACCGGCTCATCATCGATCTTCGGCGAATCAATCGCCATCTCAAGAAGGTTGGTCTTCGTTATGAAAAACTGCGCGATTTTGGATTTCTGCTGAAGAAGCATGATTACTTGGTGGGATTCGACATCAAAAACGCTTATCATCATATTCGGATGAGAGCGGATCAAGAGCATTTTCTTCAATTTCGCATGGGTGGGGAGACCTTTGCTTGCCGAGCGCTCCCTTTTGGCTTGGCCCTCTCCCCCTTTTATTTCACGCAGCTCATGTTGGTAGTGGTCCGTTTCTTAAGGACCCCCAGCTCTTGTCCCAAAGCTGCCACTCGTTTTCGTTTTGGTCGATTAGCGGGGGAGGATTCCATTCTCCAGTACTATCTCCAGTACTCGCGGGAGCTTCCCGTGCTGATTTTGGCCTATTTAGATGATTCATTGCTGCCATGTCGGATCCTCAGCGGCTCACCCAATGGTCCAGTTTGGTCCGCCGGGTTTTCGCCACTCTTGGCCTCGCTTTTAAGGAGTCCAAGTGTCAGTGGGAGCCGGTCCAATGCAAGAAGCATCTGGGGATCATGATCGACACCAATCAGTGCCAATTTCAGGTCCCTCCGGACAAGGTTGCGGCCATTTCGCGGCGGGCCCAGGAGATTAGTCGACGGGGTTTCATTGTTGCTCGGGATCTGGCCAAGTTCTGTGGCTCCGCCATTTCCTTGTACTTGGCCTTTCCATTGGCACGGTTTTTTTTTGACGGATCTCTACTCTCTTTTGCGCGGCAAACGTTCTTGGCGAGATTGGCTCTGTTTGACCGCCGCGGCTCGTTTGGAATTGGCCGCCTGGGCCCAGATCGGTCGGTTGGCAAGCAGGTCGCTCAATTCCGCATCCTTGGAACTGGTGGGCACCTTAGCTACGGACGCCAGCCTCACCGGCTGGGGGGCCACTTTTACGCCTCTGGGCGGTGATCAACCCCTTCTTGCTCGCGGATTCTTTGATCGGGAGCTCATTCACATCAATGTCCGTGAAATGCAGGCCGTATACTTGGCCCTGCTGTCTTTCTTTCCTCGCCGGTGC